GGGCGGGGGCCGCGAAGAGGACGCGGCGTGCCCGAATTGGTTTCCGGACGCCTGCCGATGGATGTGGCCGGCGAGCCGCCTCCATGGCGGAGGAGCGGGGGGACTCGTGGCTGGCAGCACGACCAACCATCGCCACAGTATCGGGCAAGCGGTCTTCCCCCGGGTGGCGGCTGATCGCCGCAAATGCATCGAACATAGGCGGAGGAGAGGGGGGGGGTCATCGGATCGATACAGCTTGAGGGGGCGCAGGAAGACGGGGTCAAGGGTTCCGGCCGTAATGCTTCCTGGTGCGCGACTCTCAATCGTTCCATCTGAAGCCCGGCCTCCGTCGTCTCGTGCCTGCGACGGCGGATCCAGCGCGATCAGCTGCCCAATCCTTGGCCTCCTCCACGACGCGCAAAGGGGGGCCGACGGCCGCCGCGACGCCGGCAAGGGCGCTGCTGGTGGGCATTATTTTTGTCGCGGCCGCCTGCGAAAGCGCACGGGGCGTCGAAGGTCGAGCGGGCTGCGCGCGAGCCTAATTACACAGCGACCGAGCGCGGGATCAGAACCTACCGCCGGGGGGGCAAGCTGGCTGAAGCTGAACTGGCTGAGCTGGGCTGATGGGCATACACGAAGCATCAAGAACTAGACCTCGGCATCCCTGGGGGGCTGCGATCTACGAAACTATCGCCACTTTCGAAAACTTTTGGGGGTCCAGCGGAACGACGTCTTACCCGGACTCACATGAAACCTCGCTCGCCCCGGGGGGATGCGATCTGCGAAACGGTCGCCATCTTCGAAGGCTGCTGGGGGGTCCAGCGGAGTGACTTCTTATCCTGATTCGAAGCAGATGTCGCCACCATCCCTGGGGGAGCTGCGATGTTTGCATCTGTCGCCACTTTCGGGGGCTGCTGGGGGGTCCAGCGGAGTGACGTCTTACCCAGATTCAGATTAGACCTCGCCATCCCTGGGGGGCTGCGATCTGCGAAACTGTCGTGGCACTTTCGCAAGGGCTGCGGGGGGGTCAAGCAGAGTGACGTCTTACCCAGATTCAAAATCGACCTCGCCATCCCTGGGGTGCTGCGATCTGCCAAACTGTCGTCACTTTCGAGGGCTGCAGAGGGGTCCAGGGAGTGACGTCTTAGCCAGACTCAATTTAGACCTCGCCATCCCTTGGAGCTTGCGATCTGCGAAACTGTCGACACTTTCGGGGGCTGCTGGGGGTCCAGCGGAGTGTCGTCTTACCTGGACTCCATTGAGACCCCGCCATCCCCGGGGGGCTGCGATCTGCGATTTTCTCGCAACTTTCGAAGGCTGCTGGGGGGTCCAGCGGAGCGATCCTTTACGGGAGGAAGGAGAGGACGAGGAGGAGGAGGAGGAGGAGGAATAAGAGGAAAGCAGGAGGAAGAGGAGGAGGGGGAGGAAGGGGAATACAAGGAATGCGGCACGAGGGAGATGAGGATGAGAAGGAAGAAGGGGAGGATGTGGAGGAGGGAAGAGGCAGGGAAGGAGGAAGGAAACAACGGTCGATGACAACGATAATGCTAAGTCGGGCTTCCGAAGTGCGCTGTTGTTGGACATGTGCGGGTAATTATTGTTGTGACTGTATGTTGTTGCGTTTGATGTAATTTGTTGTGTTGATGTGATGTGAGCTGCTATTGCAAAGCAACTGCTATCATACCATAATAAATAAAATGCTATCAGTTCCTATCGGTGCACCCATGTTGACTCCCAGAATAAATGTGCATACTTAATACGGTAAATTGATGTCTGGATCGTCTTACAATGCTGTACACAAGGAATCCTATTGCAGGACCGAAAAGACGGGTCGCAATTGGTACCAATTGGATTGTTTGGCCAGTTGAGAAGTGTCCCAGTCGGTTGTATGTTGTGCCAGTCGGTTCGGATTGGCCCCACATGCGGTCCGACCAGCCCCCTCGGAAAATTACAACGGGGGGTCTGGACCGCATGACTGACCAATCCCAACCAACTTGAACAATTTACAGCCGACCTGGCCATTTCTTAATCGGCCAATAAACCAACTGGTACCAATTGCAAACAGCCATCTTGAGCCGCCAATCGGATTCGTGAATACAACACTCGAAGACGATTCAAATATCAACTGAACGTCTTAGGAGTGCACGTTCGTTCTGGGAGACAACATGAGTGGCCCGGTTGGGATTGGTACGCGTTTGCTGTCTGGCATCTGGGAAGGCATCTGGCCCAACATACAACAACACCTACCACCTCAAGACAACGCCATATATCAACATAACAACATCTATTTACACGCACACGCACTCACACATGTTTCACAACATCACATGTGCAAAGACTGAACTTCCCATCCAATGTGTCATCGTCCGTTCCTTCCTTCCTCTTTTTCCCCCTGTTCCTTCCTCCTCCTCCTCCTCCTCCTCCTCCTCCTCTTCCTCCTCCTCTTCCTCGTGCCGCATTCCTAGTCCTCCTCCTACTCCTCTTCTTACCTCTCCTCCTCCTTATGTATGTTACCTCCTCCTTCTCCCCCTCCTCCTCCTCCTCTGCCTCCCCCCCAAAAAGCGGGTCCCAGGTCGAGCATGGCTCAAACTAGCCCACGACAGCACCCTCAAGAGGCACCACGACAGCCTCACGCTGGCCCAAGAAAAAGCCGAGCATGGCTCCGGACAGCCTCCGACCGCCCCCAGCCGAGCAGCGCTCCTCACGCCAGCCGGCGAGGGCCGCCGCCGCGGGGCCCCCCCGAGGGGCGCCCCCCGGTGCGCGCGGAGGGGGCCTCCGCCGCGGGGCCGCGGCGGCGGCGGCGCGCCCACGGGCCGCCGAGGCCGGCATCGCGGCGCCCTGCGCCCCGGCGGGGCCACGCGGGCCGCGCCTCCTGCGCGCCGCGCGAGGGACGCGCCGGGCGCCGCGCGGGGCGCGGGCGCCCGCTCGCCGCGCCGCGTCGGCCGCGCCGTCGGCGTCGTCGGTGTCGTCGGCGGGGTGCGCATCGTCGGCGGCGTCGACGCGGCGTCGGCGTTTGGGCGGCATCGGCGTCTGCGCCGCCGCCGACGGCGTCGGCGTGCTCGCTGGCCTCGGTGCCTTCTGCTCGTGGGGCCCATGAGGCACGATGCAAGAATCTGTTCAGATTGTACCGAATCTCTGGAGGCCCCAGGCTGCTTGCCTGCCTGCCTCATTCACGCACCCACTCACCCCCTACTCCTTTACACAACACTACACCCACCTCCTTTCACCCATCCACCCAGTCCCCCCACACCCCGTACTTCCGCCCTCGCCCACGTCATTGTCGTCGTCGTCCTCCTCCTCCTCCTCCTCCTCCTCCTCTTCCTCCCTCCTCTTCCTCTTCTTCCTCCTCCTCCTCCTCCTTCTCCTCCTCCCCCTCCCAAGGGGCCCCTGGTGGTTCCGCAACTGTCCGTTACCACTGAACGTTACAGAATTCAAGGACATCGCGAAACATTGAAGCACAAATGGACGTGGGGCTAGCTGGAGGAGAGGAGGATTAGACTTTCGTCAGCATCCACTTCAAGAGGACCGGCCGAGACAAGCTCGCCCCCGAGCTTGGATCTATCCCCATGCCTGAACATACGCGGACCACTGGCCCCATTCCTGCTTCGAGGCCCTCCCCGACCTTTGGCGCCCGCGGGCACGGGAACGGAGCGGGCCCAGCAACACCGTAGAGCAAGGGCACCGCGCCCCCGCGACCCCCGCCCCGAAAGGGCCCGGCGGGTTCTTTGCGAGAGGTTCTCGCCATGTGTGCGGCGACCAGCCGGTTCCCAGAGCACGGAAGCGTGTGCACACGACCTGTCTCCCTCGCCGCACTGCGCACACCGGTGCTGCTTGCTAGATGATGTTTGCCCTCCCTCGCTCCCTCCCTCAGTGCCTGCCTCCCTCCGTTCCTCCCTCCCTCCCTGCTCCTCCTCCCACCTCCTCTTCCTCATCCCCTCCTCCTCCAGCCTGCCTGCGATCGACCATGGGGACAAGATGTCGGTAAGGGTCTAAACGGGCCCTCAGGTCAGGGTCGGGGAGATCACTGTCAAACACATTAGAGGCATCCTGGAGGAGGATGACAAGGAGGAGGAGGAGGAGGAGGAGGAGAAAGAGGAAGCAAGCAAGCGAGAACTCCTGGATGCTGTCCCTCCGTTTCTGGGTGCGATGTTCAAAAAGTAGCCCCTGAACAGCGGAAGGAACCGCGATTTCCCTCACCAGCGGGCGCCGCTGATGGGGACACCACCTGAAGCCCTCGACACGCCCGTCGGCTGGGGTATACCAGGTTGGGGGGTGATGGGCACCACTCCATACGAACCCGAACTACCTACGGTAGCCGAGGAGACCTCGAACGTTTTACACGACCAGGCATAGGCACAAACGAATCCGACAGATCCCGAATTGGTCGCAGTCCTGAAGGAAGAGGAGGAGACGGAGGAGGAGGAGGAGGAGGAGGAGGAGGAGGAGGAGGAGGAGGAGGTGAAGGAGAGGAGGAGGAGGACGAGGAGGAGGAGGAGGCTAAGGACAAGGGTGAGGGTTCGAAGCGAAAAAGACTCGAGCGAACAACTCGTCGAGACGCTGACTACGAGCCAAGTTCGGGGGCTGGGCAGGGACTCTCGGCAAAACCGCGCTGACAGCAACAGGTCCACTCCCACCTCCCCGCGTTACTAAACATAGCAGTGGCCTCAGTCCTCGGGAGCTCTACTGGTGGCGCTCCTGAAACGGGAACGGCTGGAGGGTGCTTGCGCTCAGAAGGCATGTCAGCAGCTCGAGCAGCACCGTGGTCATCGTGGACGTGCATTACACCAAAGTAAGCCGACCGGCCAACCACATTCTCCGGGTATTCTACTTCAGAAGATCGAGCGCCAATCAACATCTCATCCAGTGCAAGCAACACTCCAGAAGACGACGAGCTAACAAACAATCTCTGCCTTCCGCAAAACTCCAATAGCCTGAGAACCAATCAAAAACAAATCCCGAGGCAAGACACCAGAAGACTGAGAGCCAACCGAATTCTCGTTGTCCAGCACTCACTGAGGTCTCTACTCATCCTCCTGCTTCTTCTCTGCCTTGCCCTCGCCGGGCCTCTCCAGCAGCCGGGGCGCCTCGCGCTCCAGCGCGCCGCGGGGATCTGGGCCCAGCCTGCGCTCGCCGCCGGCGCTCACGAGGTACCGAATCGGATTCTTCTCCAGCGACGTGAACTCTCCGCCCACGACAGACGCGAGGCGCGTCCGCTCCGCCTTCGATTCGACGCGGCAGTGGCGGGCGCGTTCTCCGATGCGCTCGAGCGGCATGAGCACGAGCGTCTCCGCCCAGTAGGTCTCGATCTCTTTGCGGCACTCGACTGGGCAACGATGGGTCGGAACCGAGGGCCTGTGCCAGACCACACCAGACCTGGACGTAGCGGGGCCCCAGGGATGCCATGTCCTCGCCTGCCTGCTTGCACCGCTGAATTTCGGCGCGGTAGCGCTGGCCCGCGCGACGACCTGCCTGCGTCGAAGGCTGATCGGACATGATGAGACAAATGGTGTAGATGACTCCGCACGCGTCGCGCAGCTCGGCGCTGTTGGCCAAGCTCAGCTTCGCAGGGATCTCCGCGAGCTGCCGAAGGATGTCGCCGACCTTGCCAAGGGCCTCTGAGACGACAGGGGCCTGCTGGCGAGCATTTTCTTCTGCGTCGGTTCCACGGGCCGTCGCCTTGGTCGCCCAGGCCCGTGCGCCCCCCATCGCGCTGAAGAGGTGGAGCGGGCAATGGACAGAGATGTAGATGCGAGATCAACTGCTTCTGCAAGTCCCGAAACGAGCCAGTAACAATTTCGCATATGGGGGGCACTGGACAGTCAAGGTGTCGCAAGTGGCGCCAGATTTCTCGCGGCATCAGGCATGCAGAAGCCTCTAGAACATGAGAGCAAAGTGTCGACAAAGCGCAACCCGGGAGCCGAAGATGGAATGACACACGAGGCACTGGCTAATGCAAGAAGCAACAATGCGCGCCACCGCGCGCCGATCAGGAAGAAAAGCGTCGCAGACCGCACCGTCTTTACAGACGAGCTGACGACGATGAACTCCTTCGCGCCCAAACGCGACCGGCGGAGGTTCGGGCGCGCCTTCTGGCCACTGATCAGGGGGGCCCGCAGGGGCCCCAGACTGCGGCGGCGCAAACGAAACCGCATAGTATCTACTTCTCCGCCGTCTCATCAATCAGAGGGAAAGCAGCCGCCGCCTGCTTATCTTGAAATAGCAGAAGAAAGTGCTCGTCTAGATGCTCTAGCAAGCCCCCGCCCCCGTCCAGGACGCGCAGGGTCTCGAGACCCCGCCAGAGCCTCGGGCCCCATGGGCGGGCAGATCCCGCCAGGCAACCAGAGGGGTTGAGAACAATATAGAAAGGCCCCGGATCACCACCACTGTACGAACCCAGAAGAGACCAACAAAACTTGTGCGCGCCCGTGCTCGTGTCCCACCAACTCCTGAAGTGGACGCAAGCGGCAAATGCGTGCCTCGAGATCGATGGGGACCAGACGCCACCAGTTTAGAACCTCCAGGTTTGCGCGCGAACGCGGGTGGCCCTCAGCTTCGCGGTCGCCGGCCGCGCCTCGCATGGTCTTCCGCGCATGGCCTGCGATTGCTCGCGCAAGCTTGGCGACGTCGGCATCGGACAGCAAGACGCCCCCCAGACCGCACAGAGCGGCATTGCACACCTGGCACAGCAGCATGCAATTGCGACAACGATGGGGCACCCCAGACAGATGCCAACACGAGCCGAGCGCGCGCCATCCCGCGCGACTTGCAGCCATTCTTGCCTAAAGCTCCCGCGAGAAAGTGAGCGCCGAGAACACCATCCTAGCTCCCAGACCCTCGATTAAATGCATCAGCTTCCTAGGACACCCATCATCCCCAGGGCGAATGATGCCGCGAGCGGATCCAACTCCTCGTCTGAACAAGCGAAATCGAATAGATTGCTAAGTTGAAATTATCCTGCAGGTCCCAGACGTTGATCTAAGTTCCAATTCGCAAAAAAGAGAAAATCGCCCGCGCAAATCCGAACAGTAGAAAAACGGCCACGCACCGACTTCTTAATGGGCTCATCAGCGTAGCCGGTAAGAGACAGCTCGGCGCCATGCCCTCCCAGCGGCGAATGGGCGCCTGGCTGGTCGACATATGGACCCCGCCCACCCCTGCTTCCCCTGTCATTTTTTGGCGACGGGGTCGAAGGCGCGCGCGAAACTGCGAACGGCGCGGCGAGCCCGCCCCCCCATCAGACCCCTGCATCCAAGTCGGAGAGCAATGTCTCTACCTGCAAGCGCAGCAGGAGCTCGTTGAAAGCACTGGCATCCAAACGACTCAGAACCAGTAGAAACATGCGTGACACCTCGCATGCGATCCCATCTGCTGGAAGAGAAAGCGTTGGCCAAACCGTGACAGTTGGCGATGTGAGAGGTGCCTGAAGGCTGCAAGTGGAACCCAACAGTACTCTGAATTGGAAGAACTTCTTTGCGCCGGTGACGCGGTACAAACCCATGATCAATTACGGAGAACGCACCCGGCGCCTTCTGACGCATCAGCCCAGACAGCCAGAGCTTCCCGAGAGGACCCAAGGGGTGAATCCAGCGCGCGCGATGATCTTTTCAGGGAAGGGTGGCGCCACTGCTACGATGCCATCTGGCAGGGATGCCCCGACAGCTGCGAATCCTCTGGAGCCCAGCTTTCCAGACACTCCAGAATCCTTCGGGAAGCGGGGGCCGAACCTGGCAAGCCAAGCCTCGTCCTCGATTGCTCAGCCAACGACGAGAAGGCACGATCAAGCCCCCGCAAGTCTAGGGGAGGCGACCGCTCAGGCACAGGTCGCCGCGTCCCCGCACGGAGAAGCCCCCTGCGATTGCCTGCAAGATCGCGATGCGCACTCTGCTTGCTCTCACGAATGATCTTTCGGACCCCAGGAGCAGCATACTGGCGAACATCGCGGAACACGTCCCAACTATCCACTCCGGACGCCCCCTTATCCCACGATCAGCATTAAGTCGGGCCTGTCCCCCCACAGGGGGATTGTCGACGAAAAAAATACCCCAAAAATTAGCCTGGCGAAAAAACCAACCATAAGCAATTGTTAATACCGCAATTGTGGGCATCATCTTCGGTGGAGCTCCCTATGGGGCCACGAACCGTGTGAGGGGTGCGCCCAAATGGGGCGGGGCCGCCATGCGGACCCTGCCACTGGGGCCTTCGGTGGAGCTCCTTATGGGGCCACGAACCGTGTGAGGGGTGCGCCCCAATGCGGGGCCGCCATGCGGACCCTGCCACTGGGGCCTTCGGTGGAGCTCCCTATGGGGCCACGAACCGTGTGAGGGGTGCGCCAAAATGGGGCGGGGCCGCCATGCGGACCCTGCCACTGGGGCCTTCGGTGGAGCTCCCTATGGGGCCACGAACCGTGTGAGGGGTGCGCCAAAATGCGGGGCCGCCATGCGGACCCTGCCACTGGGGCCTTCGGTGGAGCTCCCTATGGGGCCACGAACCGTGTGAGGGGTGCGCCAAAATGGGCGGGGCCGCCATGCGGACCCCTGCCACTGGGGCCTTCGGTGGAGCTCCCTATGGGGCCACGAACCGTGTGAGGGGTGCGCCAGATGCGGACCCTGCCACTGGGGCTGGGGGCCGAACCGCCAAAATGATGCGGACCCTGCCACTGGGGCCTTCGGTGGAGCTCCCTATGGGGCCACGAACCGTGTGAGGGGTGCGCCAAAATGCGGGGCCGCCATGCGGACCCTGCCACTGGGGCCTTCGGTGGAGCTCCCTATGGGGCCACGAACCGTGTGAGGGGTGCGCCAAAATGCGGGGCCGCCATGCGGACCCTGCCACTGGGGCCTTCGGTGGAGCTCCCTATGGGGCCACGAACCGTGTGAGGGGTGCGCCAAAATGCGGGGCCGCCATGCGGACCCTGCCACTGGGGCCTTCGGTGGAGCTCCCTATGGGGCCACGGAACGCGTGAGGGATGTGCCGAAACAGAGACATGCGGAGGGCAGAGGCAAGGGGGAGGGAGGGGGCAGCGGGAGGAAGGAGGAGGAACGCGGGGCACCGTCTCTTCAAAGCGAGGACCCAACACCACAGGATGGTTGGGAATAATCAAAAGATAATCCACGAACAGTCTGGGGACTATTTTTAAAAATATGTTTGACCTTTTTTGGGCATGTTTGGAATATTTTGTCCGTCGAAAATCCCGCTGCAGGGGGGCACGCCCGACATGATATCAGCACCAGGTCGGGGGACTTGCTCGGGAAGGACCTCCGAGGTGCCCACGGCGCCCCGAACACCCGGACGTCAACTTGCTTTGACAAGAAGCTGTTCCCGGAAGCTTGCTCGGGCAGTCGCGCAGCCTCTGCTAGCCGCCAACGCCAGCTGCGCCGCATCCCCTTCATTCAGCTCATCCGCTACCTCCGGCTGCTGCTCCTCTGGGCGTCGGCGAAGAAGCCGAGCGCCCTCGCGAGTGATCTCTCGCAGTCGATCGCACGCCTTATCTTTCTCATCATTGACAGCGTCCGCCAGCTCGTGCCAACTCCGACGAAGAGCTTCCAGCAATTCCAAGCGTTCAGCGGCCAGCTGACGAACAGATCGAGCACGCTTCCTACCAAAGAACTTGCGACCAGCGGATGTGCGCAATTCGTTCAAGTAGTCGAATTTGTCATCTGCGGTGAAATTGCCAGCCAACTGTTCGATGCGCCGCGCATCCTGCTCAATTCTAGCCCCGGCAGCCTCAATGTGCTCCCGCCACTGAGCCCCCCGTCGCACAAACATCACCATTGCGTTATCGTCCCAGCTCGCTATCCAAAGCAACCCCAGGATCCAACGCATAAACAATAGCTGCGTGCACCAGTAGATGGTCCAAGATGGCCCCTTCGCGATAAACCTGAAGATTGCGACTCAGCCGATGCAGTGGGCCTGCGCTCTTGATGACCGAGACGGGCGGACGAGGGAGAGCGACCGTGTCGATATAATTCGTCGTGCCCTGCGGGCTGCGGGCCGAAAAACGTTGGGGCGAAATGTTTAAACCAATTCGCAATCTGCAAGTCATGCATGGCAAGAAACTGAGAGAAGCGAAGTCCGATGCCGAAGCTTTTTGTCGCATTTTCCTTAGGAGCGGAGTGTAGCTGATCACAGACCCACTCAGAACCGACTCGACCCTGACCAACACTATCATTTATATCATCACATACATTTGGTGTAGATCTGCCGGGTACAATCGGCAGTTCCTGAGCGGCCCACTCCAGAAGACGAGATGCCGTGGCCTCATAGTCTGTCCAAGCCGCCGACGAACGAGGCCGAGATGGAAAATACAGTACAACAGCTGTGATATCTAGAACCCCATGTCTGGCCCGACAGACGAGACCGCACCCCTGTAAACGAGCAGGGGCAGCAACACATCGAATCAGATGCTCCGAGCGCACACGACGACCGACTACGATGGTACACCCACGCGCGCATGTAACATGCTCCGACAAAGCCCACCCTGCGCCACCGCAACTCTGCCACAAATGAGCCAGCGCCGCAGCGAGCAGCCTACCGGGGTTTCCTGCTGAGCGCCGTTGAGGGGGAGGGCGTCGAAGTTCGGGGCGGGATTCACAGTGTCCTCCTGGCGATGGCGCGTGGACGCCGCCATCGGATGATATGTACCTTCGGTAAGTGTGAGCTGCATTGAGCGGCCCGCCGCCCGCGCCATCGCCGTCGCGCAGGGCGCAGGGGGGGCGAGATGGTGTGGGGAGAGCCTCTGCCTGGCCGTGTCCCTGCAAGACATGACCCGCATGGCAGAGGGGGACAAGGATGACGAGAAGGAGGAGGAGGAGGAGGAGGAGGAGGAGGAGCAGGAGGAGGAGGAGCAGGAAGGGGTCGGCGGCGGAGGTGCGCCGGCAGAATGGCGGCGCGTCTTTCCGCGCGTGGGTGGCCACCGCACTCTTCGCGGCGGCCGGCAGCCAGGCGCGCCGCGGCCCCGCCCGGCGGGCGAAAAGCCCTCCGCTCCTACTCGCTGCTCCGCTCCGCGCGTGCGCCGCCGCCGCGCGTCGGCGGCGCCTTCGCCACGCTCGTCGTCCTCGTCTGGCATCGTCCGCTCCCGTCTGCCGCTCTCGCCCCCCACCCTCTCCCTGCTGCTCGTCCCCCCGCCCTCGTCTGGCATCGTCCGCTCCCTGCTGCCGCTCAGCGCCCCCCCCATCACACCCTCCTCATCCTCGTGCGCCTGCTGTTCGTCCTCCGTTTGCTCCTCACCGTCGTTAGCCGCGTCCACCTCCTCCTCCTCGATATCTGAGGCCGTATCGGAACTAAGATGTCCTTTTGGAGGAAAACGAGGCAGGTGAGCCGGAGGAGGGTAAGGAAGGGGGCCAGCCGAGGGATACGGAAGCAGATTGCGATGCGAGATCGTTTGCTTCAAACGGCCAGAACAAGAAACATAAAACACAAATTTTAGAACGCAATAAAAATAGTATTAAGTCCCTGTTCCTGCGTCTGCTCGCCGTCGTTGTCTTCGTCCTCCTCCTCCACCTGCTCCTGCACCTCCTCCTCCTCCTCCTCCTCCTCCTCCTCCTCCTCCTCCTCCTCTTCATCACCTGCATCATCCTCATCATCCTCATCCACATCCCCATGATCACCCTCATTATTATCCTTCTCATTATCATCATCATCATCATCATCATCATCATCATCATCATCATCATCATCATCATCATCATCATCATCATCATCATCAGACGCAGCAGCAACATCATCATCGTCGTCGTCAACATCATCCTCATCAGCATCATCATCATCGTCATCATCATCATTACCACCATCACCATCACATTCACCATGATCAGCATCACCACTACCACCACAATCATCATGATCGTCATCATCTTCATTAGCATCATCAGCATCAGCATCAGCATCAGCATCGTCATCATCACCATCATCGTCATCCTCATCCTCATGAGCATCACCATCATCAGCAGCAGCACCAACATCAGCAGCATCAGCAGCAATATCACCGTCATCACCATCGCCATCGTCATCACCACCATCATTACAACCATCATCACCATCATCATCATCAGCAGCAGCAGCATCATCAGCATCATCATCAGCATCACCACCACAATCGTCATCAGCCTAATCATAATCAGCACCATCACCACCATCATCAGAGTCGTTAACACCATCCTCACCATCATCCTCGTCCCCTTCGTGGTCTTCACCAGCATCGCCCTCCCTTCTCTTAGCCTCGCCCTCCTCCTACACGTTGTCCGCCTCCACCTGCTCCTCCTCCTCCTCCTCCTTGTCCTGCTCTTCCTTCCTCTTCCTTCCGATCGCCTGTCGCCGAATACCGCTGCGCAGCGGGCTCGCAAGCGCACGAGCGCCCGCGGACAAGAACGGGCGGATCGGACGTGTGGACCCTAAACGGGTGGGCGACGACGAGGACCAACGACGACGAGGGATGGTGACGCAGATGGCAGCGGCAACAACGACGACAACGATCGTCGACGGCAAGTGAGGACGACGACTGGCGCGTGAAGACAGGGCAAGTCCGGCGACCGCAACGAGCAGCGACGAAGAGCAGCGAGGAGCGGCGGCATGCGACGACGACGAAAGGCTGGGACGAGCGGCCACGACAGGCGGCGACGACCTCGACGACGAGCGAGGCGGGGTCCGCGTACCCAGCCGGTCTCCCCTTCTCTTCCTCGCCCTCCCCCTCCTCTTCCCCCTCGGACCCCCTCTCGTTCTCCGCCTCCGCCTCCCGCGTATCCCTCCTCCTTCTCTCCTCTGCCCCCCTCCCCCGTCTTCCCCTCTTTTGCTTGACCTCCTCCTCCTCCTCCTTCTCCTTCTCCTCCTCCTTCTCCTCCTTCTCCTCCTCCCCTCCTCCTCCCTCTCCGCCCTCTCCAACTCCCCGCCTCCTCCTCCTCCTCCTTCTCCTCCTCCCTCCCACTCCTCCTCCTCCTCCTCCTCTTCCTCCTCCTCCTCCTCCTCCTCCTCCTCCCTCGCACTCCTCCTCCTCCTCTTCCTCTTTTTCTTCCTCCTCCTCCTCCTCCTCCTCCCTCGCACTCCTCTCCCCCTCCCCTTCCTGGCCGCCCCCTTCCTCGACGCCGTGCGGCCCCCCCTCCCTGCAGAGGTGTCCAGCCGGGAGGGGCCGCGGGCGCGCCGTCACTTCTTGCTCTTCTTCTTTGCCTCGGGCGCGCTCCGGGCGGAAGGGGCGCGTGCCGTCGTGGGGGGTGGGGGGAGAAGGAGTAGGAGGAGACGGAAAAAGGAGAACAAGGAGGAGGAGGAGGAGGAGGAAGGAGGAGGGGAAGGAGGACGTGGAGGAGGGGGAGGAGGAGGAAGGGGATGAGGTGGAGGAGGAGGAGGAGGAGGAGGAGGAGGAGGAGGAGGAGGAGGCAAGCTAGGTGCGCTAGCGTCACATCTGACGTCCTACCCGTCCCTCCCATCCCTTACCCTGGCGTAGATGTCCCATCTATTCGCACAGTCGGATGTCGAGCAGGGCAATGGATGGAGAAGTATGGCGTAGAAGAGCACGGCAGAGCATAGCATGTCATACCATGGCGTGGCATTGTGTAGCGAAGCAGTGCATCACAAAGCATAGCAACGCAAAGCGTGGCATCAGACAGCGGTGCACAACACTGCATCGCATTGCATGCCGTTGCATAGCACTGGATGGCTTGGAGGGTAAGTGGCGCGTCTACGAGAAGACAAGCCTGTCTGGAATGCCAGCTCCATGTCCTCCACAACCGTGCCCGCCCGATGTGGGCGCTTTCGAATGCCAAGTGCCGTCCAGAGGCGCGGGAACGAGAGGCCAGCGCTGCAGCGGGAACACGATTTTGAATGACCGACGCGCGGAAGTGAGGGCGGCGCTGCAGCGGGAGCATCGCTTTGAAAGAGCCAAAAACGACCGGATGGAAAAAACACATCTGAAACAAGTACAACAACAAGAAACACAAATCATAAAATCCGGTGTAAGAAAATACACGGAGAGGACGGGACACTCTCAGGACAGAGTCGGGGGAGAGAGGGGAGTAGTATTCATATTGTGTAATTGAAGAAAACAAGAAGGAGAAGGAGGAGGAGGAGGAGGAGGAGGAGTTGGGGATGGAAGGCCATCTGCGGGGACGCCCCCCGCCCCCCGCACTCTGGCCACTTGCTCGCCCGCCGGCCCTGGCCCGCGCTAGCAGCCGCCGGGTCCACTGGTGGTGGCACGGGGGCCGCAGGCGCCAGAAGCTCGGTCATCCAAGACAGGCTACGAGATGGACTTGACGCGACACGCACATGAGCATGGCGCGAGACTACGCGCTGCAGCCTGTAGATATGGCTTACCCGGTCAGGAAGAAGACGTAAGTGCGGACGACAAGGATGTGGCCCTTCTCTTGAGCATGAGCTTTCGTAAACAACACGAGGTCAAGCAGTACGACACCAAGTACGACACATCAGGAATAGGTGCTCTGCGAGAGTACGCGCGGAAACGTAAGGAAGACGTGCTATGCGAGAGCACGCACGGGAGAGGTGCTACACGAGAGCACCATGCGCGTATAGATCAGCACATAAAGTACATCGTCGAAGTCCCACTGTAGCAGCAGCACCACCACCAGCAGAAGAGCAACGACCAGTACGGCGACTAGGACAGCGACGAGCACGGCGACTAGTACGGCGACCTGTACTCCCACGACCCTTAGGGCTTCTCCAGCTTCCAGAACGTGGAACGCTACGACTTGGCAGCCGACGACTCCGATTCGGACCTCGGAGACTACGAAGAAAGCGTGCCTTCTGAGCTATTGCAGCCTCCAGCAGAGTTACCATGGCCACAGGACGACCTTTGGGGGCCACAGGCTGAACTACGAGGACGTCCTGCTGAGCCGCAAGAGGCACCAGGAGATGTACCAGGGTCACCAGCTGAGCTACGAGAGCCACGAGCAGAGCTACGAAGGCAACCAGCTGACCTACGAGGGCAACAGGCTGAACTAGGAGGACCACCAGCAGGGCTGCGAGGACCACAGCCTGTGTTACGGGAGCCACTTACTCCAGATTTCGTAATAAAGGGAGGGGGGGCTCATTTCGGGGGGGGTCTCTTCCAGGCTATCTTGGAGGGCCTGGGGGGGTCTGGGGACGATGTTTTGGAGGGTTCTCCCACGAGGGGGAGTCTGAAATGGCTTGTCTTGGAGGGTCCAGACCCCCTCCCTTTCATTACGAAATCTGGAGTACACAACTACCCAGACCACCTCCTGAGCTACCAGAGCTTCCAGATGTTCTACGAGGGCCACCACCTCCAGCTGAGCCACCAAGGACGCCAAGACCGGTGCCAGGTCCACCGGCTGAGCAACACGGGCCAACCTGCCCAGCTGCGAGGGCCTCAGGCTGAATTACGAGGACCACAGCCCGAGCTGCGAGGACCACAACCTGGGCTACGGGAGCCACTGGCAAGGCTTCCCGGACCACCTGCTGAGCTACCAGAGCTCCCAACAAACCTGCGAGGACCACACGCTCAACTACGAGGACGACAAGCACAGCTACGAGGGCCACGAGTACGCTTGCGAGGACCTCCGGCTGATCCACAAGAGGCGCCAGGAGAGGTGCCAGAGCCACCTGCTGAGCTACGAGAGCCACAAGCAGAACTACAAGGGAGACTCGCTCAACTACGAGTGCCACAGGCCGAGCTACGAGGGCCACAACCCGAGCCACGAGGACCACACCACCTGCTGAGCTACCAGAGCTTCCAACACACGTTCGAGGGCCACCAGCTGAGCTACGAGGACGTCCTGCTGAGCCACGAGGGGCACCTGGAGAGGCACCAGGGCCACCAACTGAGCTACCAGAACCACCAGCAAAGCTGAGGGCCAACTGATTGATGACGAGTGCCACAGGCTGAGCTACGAGGACCACCAACAGGGCTACGAGGACCACAACCTGAGCCACGGGAGCCACTGGCAGAGCTAACTGCCTAGGGCACCTACTGACCTACCAGTCTCCAACAGCAGACCCACGAGGGCCACGAGCACAACTTCGAGGACCACGGGCACAGCCTCGAGGGTCACAAGCAGGGCCACGAGGACCTACAGCTGAGCTTCGACCGGGCGTGGCCGTGCGCCGCGTCGGCAATCAAAACTCGCACGCTGCACAACAGGCGGGAGGGTACAGTCGGGGCCCTGAAGAAGGAACCCTTTTCGTTTGGGAGGGGCTCCGTGTTCCTTAGTTGTGTTACAGCGCTCCTTGGGTTTTCCCCAGGTTTTCCATGGGAAATCGGAGTTTAACTTATGGGAGGAAGGGGCCTCGTTCCATATTTAGGGTTCCTTAGGTCAACGCCCCGACTGTACACTCGTGCCCTACGATAGGGGAGCAGACCGCTGGATGTGCAAGGCAGGCTGGCGGGCTCGGAGCACGTCGGGGTCAGGACAGCCTGCCTGGAGCCCGCAGGTCCAATGACCACGCGGGCGCTCGGGGCCTGCGCTCCAGCAGGCGGTTCGCCAGTACAGCTACTCCAGATTTCGTAATAAAGGGAGGGGGGTCTCATCTCGGGGGGGGGTGTCTCTTCCAGGCTATCTTGGAGGGCCTGGGGGGGTCTGGGGACGATGTTTTGGAGGGCTCTCCCACGGGGGAGGTCTGAAATGGCCTGTCTTGGAGGCCCTTTTAATACGAAATCTGGAGTAGCAGAACCCAGGGCACCATCGACGTGGCTCTCCAAAACACGTACGGCCTGACGGCCGCCGGAGGGCCGCCGGGCGTGGCCGCCCACGTCGGGCTGGTCCTCGGCGTCAGGGCGGCCTTCGACGTGGCCTGCAACCTTTGTCGGCCCCCGAAAACGGCAGGGCCGTTTTTTCACCGTTTCCAGAAAAATACCCCTTGAACGTGGAAACGGCTAAAAACGGCGACCAGAAACGGCAAAAAACGGCTCCAGGATTGGAGCCGGAGCCGGAACCGGTCAAAAAAGGCGACGGAACCGGTAAACAAACGGCGTCGGAACCGGCAAAGAAACGGCAAAACGGAACCGGTAAAAAACCGGCCCTGTCGTTTCCAAGGCCCACTAAGCCTACAACCACATGGCCCGGCCCCTGCTCCCATCCCTCCCCTCCCTCCTGGGCCTCAGGTGCTACGGTAGAGGGGAACAACTACTGAACCCCCACCCTCCCCCCCAACCTCAATGTTGGCACGCGCGGGGGAGTCTGCGGTCGAAGTGCATCTCATCAGACCCACCGCCAACTTTGAACAGTGGGGGGGGAGCCGGTGAGAGATGAATGTGGCGTCATGGGTGTTCGCTAATTTGTTCCGAGGCCTGTATCAGCAGGAAGGTTGGTGGCCTCCCGCTTTCTGCGCCCCTCCCGGCAAGGGCCCGCCACCGCGCTGCTGGGCGCGCCCATCGCAGTGCGCGCGGCGTCGGAGGGAAAGCATGCTCGAGAGCGCTGCGCAGCAGGTGGTGATGGGGATGGCGAGGCGGGGAGGGGGAGAGGGCCAGGATGCCGCGCGGGGAGCGGAGAGGTGGAAGTGAGAGAGAAAGAAGCGGGACTAGCGAGGAGGAATAGGAGGAGGAGGAGGAGGAGGAGGAGGAGGAGGAGGAGGAGGACGAGGAGGAGGAGGAGGAGGGTGAGAGGCGCTCTGGCCGAGGAACCAGAGACGACGCCCCGCCCGGGCCGCGCCCAGGCGTGGCGCCGCCATGGCAGAGAGGATGCTTGCGACCAAGAGCCAGCGCCGCATCATGAACCAGGCCTACAACAACATCGGCAACGTGATTGCAACGGGCCAATACGGGGCTAGGCCTCCACAGCTCGAGGCTCATTCTTACATGAAGGCATACCGCAGGCTGGCATACACAGCCCGTCGAGGGCGCATCGCCGTGGACGACCTCATCCATCTTTTCCCAGAGGGACGCCAGGCACACCGGGGATATTCGCCACCGTTGGCCTTCAACCTCGGGCGGCAGGGCGTGGCAGCCCAAGACCCCGCCCAGCTGTTGGTCTTAGCCCTACGTCGAGAAGTACGTGTCAGACAGTGCTGGCAGCGAGGGCACGCTCAGACCAGAAGAACCTGTTTCCGTCCCCGCTCATCTCGGCAAGTCCGATGGCGTCCGCTCTCCGGCTTCAGGGTGCCTTGTGCTACCGCCGTACATCCCATCTGCCGATATGCTCTACTAGGCTAGCTCGCACTACTTCGGCCACGCCCAGAACACCTTCGAGATGAACCGCCTGGAC